TAGATGTCTGCTGCCCATCCAAAATATTTGCTCTGCGCTGACTGATTGATTCCCATTCAGACGAGAATCACACGTCCGTTTGAGATACAGACAAATACTTGGATATTTGCGTCTGTTTAACCGCGTTTCCGGGTTAGGTATGAGGTCCGATTGAGCATCGAAATTCAGTAACAAAAAGATGGTTCTACACTGACCTAATTATGTACCATTTGGTTAAGTCATGGTAGCCTAAGCGATTCAAAAGTAATAATTTCCACTAGTCATACTGCTACGCCGCTTCATGCGTGATGCCACAGGCATCTAAATTATGCAAAGGCCGATGGGAAGAGAAGGGAGAAGTAGTCACCTCCATTTACCGAGGTGATCGATGTTCATAATCAAGCGAAGCATTTGCGGTGACAGCTGCTGCTTACACAATTCTGTTAGATTAGGATGCCTGCAAGGTGATCTGAACACCGTTCAGCAGCCATGCTTCACATTACTTTCCAACAAATTACGGATTTTCCGCTTAGAATGCAATTTGTCAAATTTGCTTTGTAAAAGGTCCAATATGTTTCACAAAAATTCAAATTGGTATTGCAAACAGTTGAAATGGGTTGTACAAAGTGTCCAAAAACTAGTGCTGTGTCCCTTGTATGAGACACTCGTTTGGAACGCACTTTTGCCGATGCTTTGTGCAACAAGGTTTTTCCTGTACCATAACATTGAGTTATTTTATTCGACAAAGAAGCTGGCGATATTGGTCTTTCACCTAGTAGATGTTTTCATTTGATGTTGCAGATCTGCCTTCGGATTTTGTCGTCATTAGCGTAACGAAAAATTGTGTAGTGATTAAGTTCTCTAGGTCATTATTAAAAGCCAGCACGGATGCGACCACAGAAATGAATCTTGGGGAAACGCATTCGACTTGGATAAGGTAAACTTCCGATGCATGTACTTTCAATACAAGGAGCTGGTGCAAGTAAAATGTTTTGATAAAATATATGATCATAATATAGTTTATCAGTGAAGCCTGGCTAGTAGGAAGTAGTGGCCAAAGCTGCCGAATTCTTTAAATATCTATAGTTAAACACGGCAACTGATCCTTGAAGCACTGGGTTTCCTGTATCACTCCAAACAACAATGAGAAGTCGAGTGTTAAACGATGATATCATTTTGCGCTTTTTGAACACTTGCAGACGAGCGACATTTGACGATCATGAAAGGGGGCAACCAACGATTTACATCGTGTCGAGATGGTAATGAAGCAAACAAAAGTGCATGAGTTCCAACAGAATCACAACGTTTGAGAGAGGTGTCACTATCCTCAAGGAACCTTGAGGGTGAGATTCCGCTGACTTTGTACACATAGGTCCGGACGACAGTGCTTAACTACCACAACCTCCGCGACTTTCAACGACTTGGCATTTCTATTACGGTAGATAACCGCAAAGGCCAAATTAGAGTCAATTTGCTGCCCCGTTCCAAGTAGGATTCTGGCTATTGATGAGGCCGGCAATTTGGATCTGGACTCTCCTCCCTTCGATTGTTTTGCTACAATTGTAGTAACCCATTTCTGGTTGTGCTCACCGATCCGCTTGCGCAGTCACCGGCCTGGTCTGTCAATGTAACTGCTTCCACAGTTACAAACAACATTGTCTATGCACAGTGTTGTGGCACAGACTGATTGCGTAAGCTTAGCCGGCGGTGTTGGCAAGTTACTGGTTGTCCGAAATTGATACCGTATTGCAACAGTTAATGCGTCTAATTGCTGTGACAACACGCCGCTCGACCTGCGTTGTCACATCACCCGCTTTGAATGGTAATTGGAGGTAGACGGGCATTTTCGACACTGTAGGAGGCTTTCGATTTTTCCTTTCCGTGCTGCGACGGTGAAACCTAATAAACCTTGTCAGATAGCCATTTATCTCTAGCGTCTGTGTGATAAAATGCAATTCAGGTTCAATAAATTCAGGGCCGCATATTCTACGAACTTTTCGGAACAGCGTTTTGACGAGACAAATTATGCACCGGACCGGTGTGAAGTTGTTGATGTTTACGTAATGTCCCGTAAAAGTAGCTTTTCGGTAGACAGCACGTCGTATAGAGCCGTTGTCAGTTCTAGTAAAAACTAGATCCAACCTAGATCCAACTAGATCCTACCTCATAGTTAACATGAGCGTTCGGGTAAGCGTTTCCCATCACCTTGAGAAGACATTATACGGTATTGATGTTGGATGTGATCACTAGAGTGTTGTCAACGTATCGCTTGTAAGGGTATATATGGTCGAGATGTGAGGCAGAGCGCGCTTCTACCACTGGCATGAAAATATGTGATAGCGTGGGACCGAGTAGACTTCCAATTGCATGCCGTTTTAAGGACACAAATTCGAATAAAACAGGCACATTCTCTGTGTATAAGAGAAATACATCGTTTAGATATTCGTCGGGATTGACTAGGCCACCATTTTGCTCGTCACGAAATCGCACAGGATTTCCAACCGCACTCTTAATGGAAAGTGAATGAAAATTAAGTTGACATCCAGTGAACATATTACTTTGATGGCCGTGTTCATAGTTTTACATGTCTGATTGGTTGAAACGTGTCTTTAAAAGTGTATTTAACAATCATTTGTATGACTGGTGCTAGTATCCCAACCAACCACCTGGCCAGTTTGTGATACAGAGAATTATTCATGGACAATATCGGTCTAAGTTTGTCAGCCTTGTGGATTTGCAGTAGGCCAAATATTTGAGGGGTGTAAGTAGCCGTTGATTTAAGTATGTTGTACATTGCTTCTATAACCATTCCGGGGTGCAGCAATATTATCAGCCTGCTAGTCACTGACTTTTCGATCTTGGTTAAGTCGGTCCTATTTTTGTTTTTCTGAAATCTGGAATTATCACTAAGGATCCCATTACTCTTGTTTATATACTGGAATCTATCCGTAACCAGGACTCTAGTACTCTTGTTTGGCTTCAGTACTATCAGGTACTTGGGTTTCAGATAAGTTAAATCTTTGGTGCTTGATATTCCATATTGCAAGTCTGCCGAATCGGCGCCTACATGAAACCACTTGCAATGTCAACAAGCCTTAAGTTAAGCCGGCTGTAGTTTTCGTGTGTCATTGGGTTAAGTTTCGACAGTTGCTCAATCACGTTTTCTACCTATGGTTTCAACTGGATTCGATCAACTTACTTTTTGGGGTGTTTATAGTTCAGACCCATTAAGAGCTTTTCCATTTGTTTCCTGTTCTAATGTTTGCAGAAGATATTACATGTTTTTAATCATCATTTCTAATGAATACCTCATCGATGTTTTCGAGAGACTTTTGTTGTGTCTTCAACTGTTTCCTTTTCGTTCTATTGATGACAGTCTTACATCTTATGATGAGCTTGATCGGCCAACTAAAGAGAGTTGATCGTGACACCATTGGCAAAATCATCCTATGTGCCTCCTCTAGATAGAAATTTATAAGTCGCCTCAATTGTGAGGTCATATAACTCAAAGTATTCCGACGCAAACATTTGCAGAACTGACGGGATAATATGCATTACGTCTGCAGTTAGCTAGGAAGCGGATACGATTTTTCTCTTTGCGACCATACATTCAAGCGCCCCGAGCCTATCAAAGGTTGTTGTTTGCTAACGTATAATGGCAATCGGCAATCTGTTACGGCAAAAGCTATGTTGCTATTTATCAAAGTAGCCAAGTCCGTCAAGGCAATACACGACTGCGCCAGCGATGATAGCCTTAATGAACTTTAAATTTCATTGTAAAGTCGTTAGCTAAACTCAAACTGATGCTGTCTTTTTAACATATTGTTTATCCTACTTGTGTAAGCTTTATGAACTTGTCGCTCTAAATCAGTGCTGCAAGAATCCCGTCGTGTTCATACGCGTACTTACCTAGGTATGTCGTCTTAAGGTAAATATCGTTAATTCTTGGACTGCTATGATCTCATATGGTATCAAACTCATCATTGCGTATGTGTATCTGTGCATAAGTAACACTTGGTAAAGACACAGTTAATACAATTTGGTCAGGATGCTATGGAACACGTTGAGAATTTGGTACACCTTTTTGCCTTTGTGCATTTACCGCTTCTTTGGTGGTCTGCATTGCTCCAGCAGTTATTGAAAGGTATAGAAATATATGCAATGGGCATTCTTATTTTTGTCTGCTTAGAACAAATGATGTCCAAACCTCTTACAAAGTGCGGTGTTTTCGTGTAAGCGAAGCACAATTTTTTAAGTGCTTGCACGTTAGCTTATGATGCAAGATTAACTGTTGTGGTAGGTCCTTTGATATATCACTTTCTGCGAGCTTGGTATTTGAATGCCATGGTTACGTTGGGCAACGCGTGTCTTCCAGGCTTTTTGGTCTGAGTGAGTTTAGTGAACATGCCATGCTGCGCTTCTAATTGCTATACATTTGCACATCATGCCAGTTACAAATGAGACACCCTTGTACGAATGGTGAGCTATAATCTTCTATAAATTAGTAACTGAGGTCTTTCACTTGCTGATGGATCTTGCTAAAGAATTTTCACTAAATCTTAGTCCAAGTAGTTTCAATAAGTAACTTTACAGCGGTAGTCTAATTGTCGTCATGCGATTTGCTCTCTCTGTACGGTATTCCTCATGATGTATTTGCATTGGAGGTGCTCATGAAGAGCAATGTTGCTTGAGCTATGTGGCTTGGAGGGAGTTCATTGTCACCTATCTAATCATAATTGTTCTTTGGTGCTTGCTAGTGATCCAAGTAGAAAAGTTAATACGGATGCTAGGAGGTTGTTTTGGAAGTCTGCTTATATGACCAGCGAAGAAGCTGAGTTGAATTTGTTTAGATGGAAACCGTTTGAATTGTTCACAGTGTATACTGACCCCGATACATACTTTCAAATGAAACCCAACGGCTAAATTGCTGCCCAGGCTGCAAAATTGAGACCCGCACGGATGTGCTATGTTTTATACCAAAAATAGAACATTGGCATTCTTGTACATTCATTTTTTGGCAGCTACTTATTACCGATCGCGACAGTCCCCAGATTAACGGTCAAATTACATGCCACGAACCAAACACACTCTTGGGCAAACAACCAATGATCTTCTTTGAGGAGCCAAATGCTGTGCGCTTAAACATGATCGCGGATGTTCTTGGACCACTAGACAAACAGATTTATCATCGCTACGACTTGTACAGTGGTAGGACGTTTGATCGTGAAACTGAACCACAAGTTCAACTCAGTTACCTTATATGCTCAGACAGTCAACTAAACTCGGATGACTTTCTGGAAAGGGCGAAAGAAATGGACGGAAGAAGAGCGCTTACTGCCACTTTGACAATCTCCCTAACAATTGTTGATCAAAACGATAACAGACCGGTTTTTGAACAGTCACATTACGAAGCTATCTTGGAAGAGAACTCTGAGATAGGAACTCGTATCATTCAGGTAACTGAGTAAGAAATATTTCTGGATAACAAGTCATCCATATTTACATTGTATTCTATTGCTCTTTATCAAGTCACAATGAAAATTTATTTTAAAAAATAATATCATGAAGACACAATTAAAATGATTTCATCGTTCGATGCATTTAGTAACCTTTGTAAAGCAACCATCACATTGACTCAAGCACAGCTACACATACCGCAAACATACCATGACAGTGGTTGTTGAAAACGAATTGCCCTGACACTAAGGAAGGTAATTTCTAGTTGTTAGAATACCTAATACTGTGCTTGAGTACCTGTACATATATTTAAACTGCTTTTTGATGTATGGTATAGCATAAAACTGACTTTTTTGTGCTAGCAAAAAGTTTCCAGAACGGCGGCAAATATAGCTGCATAATGGCTACCCCTTAACTAAAAGTGTTTAGACTGGTTAAAACTGGTTACAAGTATGCGCCAGATGACAGTCCTGCGTTACCAATACTTGCATTCTTGCATATAGTGTAACAAACACTTTTAATAGGCACTTTACTTCTGCGGATCCACAATTCAAGTTTTTTACGTTGCTTATAACTGCTAATTTTTGGTTTATTATTATTGGTTATCAAGCTAGACGTTTCTCCTTTCGGGTTTGGTAGAGCTAATAATCCTTGGTATACGTGGATATTAATTTGTTACAATAACATATCTGGTTCCGTCTGGTTGCATCAGGAATAGTGGGTATATTTCCAACATCATATGCGAAAAATTGTATTCGTGCCTCGTATATATTCATAGTTATGGAAAACAAGTTACTTAATCACATGTACTTCAGCGGAAGACGCAATTTCTACTTCTAACAAAGTTGTTCACTTTCATATCGACCGAGCAGAATAGCTTAGACTTCATAGATATCTGCATAATTAAATGAGACAGAGTGCTAGCTACTAGGGTAAATTTATTTCGTCCCGTTTCCGTACAGATATTATTTCGTATATCTAAATCCATTATTGTGAAAGGTTTTCATACCTCATGCATTGGTATCATATAATAGACATCGTCTAGATTAATCTGATACTATGCTAACCCATAGTGAAACCAGCGTCAATTTAGGGGTGCATTGTGCTTTTAATAAACATAGTTTAGTGGGGCGTTCATAGCATCGCCGATGAGCAAACATAGGTTAATGCTACCACCGTATTTTTATTAGTTTTGTATTCTTCGATGTCTCAGTATTATCAGTTTTCATAGAAATGTCGGTTGGGCTTCAATATTTCTACTTAGCATTACCTTACATTACTCTTATTATGTTAAGATAAGTAAAATATTATATCCTTTATTCTGATTGGGCACTTAGAAAAGCAAGTTAATGCGAACTATTCTCCCTATATACACTTACCAAGTTACTAGTTAACTGTCAGCGCATGAGAGAATTTCACAGACGGTGAAACACTAAGGACAAAGTATGGTAAGAACCATAGGTTGCCATCTATTTATCAGAAAACCTACTTTGTTTATAGATGACGCAAGCAGATGAGTGAACTTGAGAAATAATATTTAACAAAATCCATTTAAATGCATTCTGTCCAAATTAAGTGGTACAAAACAGAATCCATTACTCAAATGTCCAACAAGTGCCAGCTTGACTTCCAGAATATGAAGGCCGCTTGAATAGAAGCCATGCTAAACACAAAAACTTCCCACGATAAGAAGCCTAGGATTGTAATAATCATGCTGTTTATTTCTGCCAACATGCAGGCTATACAGTTGCGACGGTAAGACGGAAATTTGGATTGATATTCAAGACTTCTTCCCATCGTGATTCAAAACCTCATCCTATCATATCAATGAGTTGAGCCATTCTAGCAAGTTGTTCATTTGTGCATGTCGGCTCAGAAAACGTACGCGGTTGTCACCGGAACAGGTATAGACTGCAATCACGAAGCGGCTCCTAGGTGCATTTTAAAAACTGGCATATTCAAAAAGATGTGGCAAGCTCACCTGATAACCGCTCTAGTTAAGGAACATGGGGCATAACTTTGTCATGTTCCACAGAATGCTCATAATGTACTGAGATATACACGTTCCGAAATTAAGCAAACACAGAATTGACAGAAATTAGTGGCGAAATACAAGTTAAGGACCGAAAGATTAGCGACCTTACCTCTTATTAGATAGGCTAATAACGCGTCATGGAGTGCAGTGTTTTCAGGCGGGCAACACCCAATTTGCTGCCGCTTCATCAGCTACGGACCTAGTGTGATCGAATGGCCAAGGTTCACTTCAATGAGAATCGCGGTCCACTTTGAGATTGCATGTCGCAATCCTTCCACACAACGTGTACTTCAAATTGACTTTCCAATCTATCATAATAATCTGAAGCCTGGAATACTTGCCTGCCTCCTATAATAGAAATTTTGCAAATGCATCACAGTTTTTGACAATATAGAACGCGAGCAAAATGTTTGATATTTCCATAACAACAAAACAAGCGCACAAGCAGGGTCCAGGTATCATTTACCAGTACAGGTTCTGCCAACATACAGTCATAAATTAGTAGTTTTCTAAGAACATAGTGGTTAAAACCAGTCAATACCATTTAGTTTCAATCAATCCTTTGTTATTCCCTAGCTGTTCTTCCAAAAGCCAATATCTGATATGATTTACAGTTTTCATTATCCACCTATGATCAAGGTACCAACGATTATGCACTTATCTGATCATGCCTTTACGAGCATGTTTCGTATCATCAAGAAAAAATGATTATCTATTTTTTGGTCCATTAGATAAACCATAATTGGCCCAAGCTACTGACATACTATTTCCTAAATGCTGATTTCGGTGTAAAGAGGAATATAGTTAGCGACAAATGTCCCAAACGATCATTAGTATTTGGCTCAGTTAGTGGCTCAGAAAAGTGTAACACACAGAAAAATCAAGCGGCTTTGCACCATATGAGCGAAAGCGTCCTGTAAATGATTTCTAATGCATAGTAAAATGGCGTTATTAATTGCTAAGTAGTTTTAACAACAAATAATTTGATAATTCACTTTTGATTCTATCTGCACGCAACGCGCGTTCACGCCGCTGTTATAAACATATAAATGCTAGAATGCAAAATACTTGAATTTTTCGGCTTACTTTATTTGAAGCATAGATATTCGTTTAAACGGCTTACTGTCAAGTTAATAAAAACCGACATAACATTATAGGATTCATATGGTCACCCTGGTTCAGAGTGATTGGCATCCGAAATAGAACATATTTATCCATCACTAGTTGAGTTAGTAGGAGATGAAGGAACTTTCTGAAGTAAATAAATTCAAATTTCGTAGGTCTAGACGTGTTTGAATGGTAACGGATAATTGATTGCATGCCGATTTCGACATCTAAATAGTCAACTGATATTCTATAATGAAATCGAACATGCCAAGTTAATTTGCGTTTACTAATTACCATATAAGGTACAAAGCAACGGGTGAATATTTGGCAGGCGTTCCATTAAAGCTTATTTTTCCATCTAAATTAAAAGGACACTGATTTACGCAGTCGTTATTAATGAATATCTCTAAGTATCCTAATGGTTGATGTACGTCTTGCATTGTGAAAACTGGCAACTACTCATTTATTGCAATGAGGATTTTCTCTGGATCTCCCTGTTACTATGAAATAAAAAGTTTAGAATGAATTTAGGCAGCAATCGGATCAAATATGACAAACAACTAGTCACTTGGAAGGATTTAGAACCCACATTTGCATATCAAAACAGCGTGTGTCTGCAGTGTGCTCAGCTGCACAAAAGCAACGAATATTTTAAAGGCGAATTATTTCACTAACACTACAAAGGTTCTGCCGTTTTAATAAAATGATAAATTATATATATATATTTATGCATATATACCTGCATATCTACCTTCCTAACTGCTTAGATTTTAATTGAGATGACTAAATTGTGGTATTGATAATGAAAAGTATGATATTTGTTGTGCTAATGTTGCACCCAAATTCCAGCTGCAAAGATATGCTGGTAATATAATAGCTAACGTCATGATAAGTATACAATAATACCCTTTCAAGCGGCTAGGTCTAGCTGGACTATGTAATGGAAGCTGAGTTACAGACCAGATCTAGGTAAAATATTTTAACCTTATTTAGAAGCGCACTTATGGATTAACATAAAGTTGTGATCATTATTTAATTAAACTAAATGTTTACTCTGTATTTGGGATGAAGATTTATTTCACGATAACCGAAACAACATGGTAGGTCCAACGAATGGAATGGGTCAATTACGCCAATTGTTATATGGAGGCAAACGTTAGGAATGTTTTGACCAGAGCAATTCACCCATTTCATACATGAGAGCGATTGTGTGATAAGTTGAACCACGTTCGTCACAAACTTTAATCATTCCGGCCGCTATTTTTGTACCCTATTTGTATTAGAGTTCAGCAAATTCTCATCATTAACACATTAACCACTTGACAATTATGCGGATGTTCTGTAAGGTACCGAAGTGAAAGGTTTAGGAATACGTCACGATTATCCGTGACAGGTTATGCATACATTCTAGCTAACCTTACAGTGAAGTTTGATTGTTAATTGTTAGGCAACAAAGTGATGAAAAACTTTTTATGTATTAGGCAAGATAAAAATTTGCTTTGAGGATCTAAGAAGGCTAGTTCAATATCCTAAGTGAACAATAAGCACGAATCCTATAATCCTTGTAGAATCACTGTTACTGTTTGCTGCTTATGCTAACTAAGACATATATATTCGTAAACCAATATTAAAGGTGGAAATCTACTACTAATTATGGCAGCTTGATCACCATCGCAAAGACTAGAGTATTTTTATGGCTGAATTAAACGTCAGCCAATGAACCAATAAGTTGTCAAATGACCAAAAAATATAACGTCAAACAAGCCATTTACACTCAGTATAGGCCCACATATCTAACTTCATTGCTCAATGTAAGTGTGCGGAATCCCTCATGCATAATAAACTGAACTGTCACTTATATTTCCTTGTTCCTTCACCATCAAGCATTGACAGAGATACTAAAATGCGGTAAATATTTTATCACTTACGTTAATCAAGCACAAAACACCAGTTTCTATCATTCCATCTGTCTTCTCGTCAGGTGCACGCAAATGATGCTGACAAAGAAATGCATGCAAGGCCAACATATCGTCTACTTCAAAACACTCTATTCTCTCCTGTTTTTGCTATTGAACCGGAAACAGGTTGGATAGTTACTCATGGAAACATCGATCGCGAAACACAAGCTTTGTATCACGTAAGTCAAATGCATAGTGTACTTAGGGATGCACTGAAAGCAAACGAAGTGGTAAACAGGACCTAAACTAAAATGAGTACAAGTATCTTGATTGTATTATTGCCGGAAAATAATCGATTGTCTTTGCCCTTATTTTTAATTCATTTTACTAAATCTACTTGTGGCCTAAGCGGTAAAGGTAGAGAATAAAAACAAACGAATAAAAACATCGTGATCATTTTCACTAGCAGCGATGACGTTATTTCTTCTTCAAATTTTCGAAAGACGAGGCCGATTAAAACGCAGTGTAGCAATCTCTATTTTATAATCATCAATGGAAAAATGTTTTGGCAAGCATTTTATTTACAATAATATAGCTTCATAAGTTGATGCGATGTAACATGCCTAATTGTAACGTTAAAAATTAAGTTTGCATATTTGTTGAATGCTTTTGGCACTTTTTCCCTTTTAGAACATGCAGATCATCTATTTGTATTATTGCAATTTGCGGCAGTATACGTCGTTTTTTCCAATGCTTTTAGCTGGAAAATCACACTATACAGGTATGATGTGACCTTTGGAAACAAGGATGTATTAGCAAATACACAAACCTTGTGCTTTTATGCTCTGCATGGTTTAGACTAAGTAAAATGTTTGCAATCGCATTGTGACCAAAAGTCCCTTTGTTGTGTCTTGGAATTCTGCAAATGTGTGCCTTGGAACTCCGTCACAACCTGTTATACCCGACGTCAGAGTACACAGTGCGATATGATAAAAGTGTCACATAAAAGTGTGCTGTTAAATCTTTAAAGTATCCATTTTTCCGCTGTGAATGAGGCTATGCAAATACTTCCGTATGCTACTTTTGCCATAGCTATGTCAATTTCTTGTTGTGCCAAATCATAAAGTGTATACGTAATCACTCTCACACTTGATTTTAGGCCACTAGGTTGATAAAGTACACAACGTTTGCATAAAAGTCGGTTAAATGAACTGGGCGTGTGAAAGGAAATGACCACATGGATAAATTTCACCTATCCTGGGAGACAATTATCCTTAAAAATAAAACATTTCGGTATTTGATCAACTTTATTGGTAGGGTGGGATATGAACTCCATTGGGTAAAGAACAAACTAAAAATTGCTACTAGACGTACGGGGTTGCTTGCTGCTTACTGATTATTGCTTGGTAACAGCAAGTAGAGATATCTTTGGGTAACTGCATCTAATATCACTCAGATAAAAGAGGTTGTTATGTTGGTGTGTTTGATATATTTTACATCCGTATAGTGTTTGTCTAGGAATTAGTTGAATTTCGACAACGACGTTGCATCAACTACGTGAGGTGGCAGGTTGTTCCATACATTCTGCGTTCGAAACAGAGGTAGTGGCGATCTGCTTCCGGTCCGCTAATACAAGCTTGTACCCATATCATCTTGATCTGCTTGTTGTGCGCAGACGCCGAAGCGCCATCAGTATGGGTAATAACCGAGATCTAATAACCAGTGCTCCATGATGAGGTCAACCCGCACTCAAACATAGGATAGGGAGTAAAGCCCCAGTCTCATTCACAGATCTTCGTACTTCAATGTGGTAAATTAGAGATCAGCGTGGTGGCCACATGCTGTACCCGCTCAATCCTTTCTACTTTGCCTCGGGTGATAGACCAGTGTACGGGTGTATCGTAGTCTAGCGTTGGTTGTATTATTGACACGAAGAGACGAGAGCAACTCCCTTAGGACCAAGTGATAGAGCTACGCATTACCACCCAAAGCATACGAAGGCCGTTTTGGTAAAGCATATTCGTGTTTTCCATGGACTTTAGGTAGCAGCGTAAGAGTATAAGGGGAGCTTTCAAGCAAGGTGCAGGATACAACCGTTGACCGGCCACATTGGAAGTTCGACTGTGCTCACACCTACCTAGTTTCATGAATTGCGACTGGAACGGGTTGCTCGAAAATTTGACCACTACAGACCACATGGAGAGGCGGTCAAGGTCCCGCTAAAGCTGGGGACAGCCATTGTTGCGCATATTACTCTCCACACCATCAAGTCATTTTTATACAACCGACAAGTCGAACGGAGAAGCAGTGGCACATCGTTCATATGGATCAGACACAAAATAGGCCCCAGCAAAATGCTTTGGGTCACGCCGCTGCTCGATGGATACAAACAGGTGAAATGGTTACAAAGCTAAATGCCCCACATTCGAAAAACCATAAAATTCCTGATCCGTCGTTGTCGCGAGCTGCAAGCACCCAGAATCCTTAGTCTGTGGAGAAGTACCTCATTATTCACTTTGTAAAAATGTAAATTCAATGTAAATGACGTCTACCGACTTGTCTTGGTTCAGCGCTTGCAACCATTCGTACCTTGCTAACAGCAGGTTACTGATGCATGAGTGACCATCCACCATACATCCATGCCGTGCGGGCGTCCAAAAGCTTTTCAAATCAAAAAGAAGATCCTTCTTTACGACCTCTCAAGCGTCTTTGCCAAAATATCCGTCACGCAGATCGGCCGGTATTTATCCACTTTGCTTAGTTCACAAACTTACGGTATCGTCTGTATGACTGAGCATTTTCAGTCTTCCGGTAGTGAGGTAATGAATAGTGACCTGTTGAGAAATTCAAACAAAATAATCGAGATGATAGTCGATACGCTTACATTCAAGAAGGGATAGGTTCCATCTGGCTCGACAGGTTTCCTTTGCTCAAGAATGGAGTACATCTTAAATGCTGCAATCCAGGCTATTTAGTTCATTGGGGGCCGTACCCTTCGAACTCGATACAGACGGCTGGTCACTAGCAAGTGCGGGATCGAAGTGCTCCGCCAATGCGGATGCGTGATCTGTGCTTAAGATTAGGGATGTCCAACTTAGTCCTCCAACGACGGCATATTGCCAACAGGCTTCAGGCACCGCTTCATGCAGACGAAAATATACTTGTGAGCAGCTTTTGCTCCAGCTAAAAGCTGCTCTTCAAAGTTTCGGCGCTTTCGGATTTTCCGTTGTTTCAGAGATTCCACTGTTTATTGTACGCCGCGTAACCTTTGTTAAAGTCAGATGAAAACAATTTGTTTTACAGTCTGCGTCGCTGCCAAGTCAGTTTGCTTTACTCCTTATCGAACCAAGGTGGATTGACTAGCCCAAATTGCTGACATTTGGTGTTTACACATCGGGCGCATAAGGATTTCTTTCCTTCTTTAGTACTATTTAATTAGATTTCAACAGATGAACGCCTTGTTAACGACAGTACATGTGAATCGCTGCTTGATTGAAGTCAAAAGGTCCGCCTTCCACTACTTGAAGTTTGGCTCCATCGGAGGAGAACACGGCAGCGGCACTTCCAAGCTGGCTATGATTATCCAGTTGTCACTCGCCCCCAGGGGCTACAAGATCTGAATTTCATGCACACGTTGTTCACAACAGGCACAAACAGGTCTAAGCACGATGCAGTCGCGCGCATTTGTACGAGTCCTTGTTGACGTACCTCAGTTGCAAATATCTTCCCCGTTAACTTCCTCTCGACTTTACAAAAACCGGGAAAAGTTCCGCCTCAGGCCACTTTAGTCGAGTTAAATTGAAATTTCCCACTAGCAAGAACGGCGAACGACCCATGTGTTTGCAGACAGGTAGCGGTCAATCTAAGCAGCGGCTCAGTGGACTGAGATAAACCATGCCCACCAACATTTCTTAACGTCTGCGGTGCATTGATCATAACCACTCATATAGGCTGTCAGCACTTCGGTAAGTGGTCACCAATCTCCCACGCAAGGAAGATGTCTTGTGAAACAGGTCATCACAATCATTTGTTAGTCTATCACGGCAAAAGCTCAATTAGCAGCTGATGTAGACTTGTTGGGTTGATACCTGGAGGTTTAACCATATCACTGCAAGGCGTAATACTTTCGAACGCTGAGATATTACTAAAAATCGTAGCACATTGCGATTGTTCAGTTGACAGAAACGTTAGTAAATGAGAAATATAAGGCGCGGTGAGAACATCCGAACGCGTATATACCATCAGAATCCGGTTGCTACTGCTTCGAAGTGGAATTTGGGTAACCTCTTGAAAATGTACCATACGGAGGTTAATATTTCCATGGTCCGAGCGCAGCTTTGATTCAATCATCGCAGACTTGAATTTCTCTATATCCGCTGGATCTAAGTAAGCATGCACGTGGAACTTTAAATGCCTCAAGATATTAAGGCACCTCAACATCAGCTTAGGGCTTACCACTTTAACAAACTCACCCTTAAATCCCGATATTTTCCATCGGTTCTATTTCCGAGACCGGCAGTTTGTTTCCCCTTCAGCCTACCCTCATCTGTATTGGGCGGTGTATGAATCAGATTTTACAAACAATCGAAGTCTTATTCATAATAGGACTTTCTATTTACATGGGTGATGAAGACAACGTAATCACCAAGTAACAAGTCATACACCTTCATTTTCTCATTTTCTCAGAAAGTTATCGTAATTTTTGCAAATTTTGGTATGCAGCACTCGTGCATGTTCAAATAGAACAAGAAAAAAGACTAAACGTACAGCGTGGCTGATCACTATACCCCATGAAATTAAATAGAATATTTTAAATTTATGTAGTTTTATAATTGTAATCATAAATAGGGAATTGTGATGTTATTAGATGGGAGTACTGTGCAGCAGGTTCTGAATCGGATAGTCGTCAAAATTCTTGGAAAAGCATTACACTGGAGTATAAACCTCTTTGGCCATCATCGTTAATGAATATCCATCGGATCATTCAGGAATGGAGCACATGACCACCTTCAGCTTGCAACACCAGTCATAAGCTTATGCCAATGCCTCACGTTCAATAGTGGAGGAAAAGTTGCACTGTGTTGCACTATATTGCACTTGCTTTGGAACGCATGACGGGCCGACACTGCCGCACATAGCCCAGTGGCATAAGCTGCTGAATGACGGTGCAATTCGCTGGTAGTCCTGGTTGTGAATCCTGTACTGTCTGATGGATGCGCGCTACTGATGATGCCCAAAA